AACTGCAGTTGTCTCCACTGCATAAAATACATAGTGAATGCTTTACTGTAACACCTTAATTGTAAAGAAGTTTGCCACCTTAAATCTGTGTATAAACTAGAAGCTCTTCAGGATGAAATGTGACAAAGATGATCACAGTGGCTTGACTGTTCTATAACTTGCATGGGCTTTGGACATGGTATCAGGATAGAACCTGATTCAGAAGCCTAGCCTGGTGTCCTGTGCATTGGTGGATGTTAGGAGAAAACTGGGGTCTGTCTGGCACACATCAAACTATACATCTGTTTGTATGATGAGTAAACCAAGCGCACTGTATACTGGGCTGCAGCTTCATGTGTGGGCCTGAGATAATTAGTTTAAGCCTTTTGTGGGAGGGCCAAAAGAAAAATGGATTTTTCAATGCCATGAGATTGTGCTGCCTTCGTAATTTTACAAGCATGCTGTACTGAGGTACAGGCAGCTTACATCTGATGCATCTTACATATGATGCACCTTTAGTCAGCAGGGATGCACAATGCCAGCTCAAACAGCAAGAAAGGCTTTAGCCAGTCTCACCTGGTTTCCTTGGGTACAGACATACAGAGGTGCCCTAAAAGAATCACAAGCAGAAATATCAGTGCATTTCTCAGGCAGAGTGTGTTTCTCTGTTCAGAAGGGCAGTGATAGAGCGCTCCTCAAAATGAAAATGAGAAAAGCACTTGAGAAAGTTTTTGTTATTCAGGCAGATGCTTTAATTGTCTAAACAGTCAACAGAAGAGATCCTGACTATTAAACTGAAAGGGGGAACTATCTTAAAACTAAGAAAAACTAAGAAGCACAAAAGAAAAGAGAAGTAAGTGCTCACCCAGTTGTGTCAGAGAAGTTGTTACCTGATGCTTGCTTATTCCCTTCCTTCAAACCATCAGTTCAGTTCTATGGAGTGCAGAAGACAATCAGTTAAAGCCCCTGGTGGGTAAGCATTGAAGCAGTACCGATAAAATGAGCACCTGGGAATAGACACTGTAGCTTTACATAGCCATAATTGACTAATATAGTTTCAGTGGGTGTTTGAATAACTAGTTGCAGAATCAGGTTCTCACATGTCTTTATAGAAAGGAACAGTATTTGTATAGAGCCTTCTATTTCTGTAGACGTCTCTATATGAAATGTATAACACCATATAAATAATGCCCACCTCACAATGTTACTAGGACACAACATCTCAAAACATATCCTTATTTGATTTTGCTAACGCCAGTCCCTAATGAATAATTAACATCAAAATACTAAAACTTGACATAGGAGCTAGTCAAAATTAAAACCATCTTTCACTAACATTGCAGCTGCTGAAGCAATGTTCAATGAAGTTGCTTTTTTTCCAGGTATGCAAATAACATCAGCTCTTTCATTCTGCTTTTTAATCGCAGCAAAAATAATTTTTGAACCAGGAAGGTATTTCTTAGGGTTTTCTAAATACTCTTGTCAGTGTATTCTCACTCCAAACAACTCACGAAAAACAAAAAATATAATAAAGTACAAGGCTGGCACAACATCGTACATGTATGAAAATATCAATGGTTTCAAATCAAAGGTGTGATGCTTTTGAATGTTGTCCATGTAGAATCCAAGAGAATGTGAGCATAAATGATAAATGATACACATTGTCTTCGTGTCACTTTATTAGGTAAAATATAAGTCCTTTTTGCATCACAGAAAGTTGCAGTTCTTTGCACCATTTCACATACAACTACTTACTACTTTTAGAGTATGTAAGTATCTTTGCAATTCCAATATCCAGAGGATCCAACCTAATTTCATACAGTTTCTGAAAATGAACATCTGGAGATTGACATGAAATTCATCAAGCTCTGCTCCATTGAGGGGCATTAGAAAAAGGGTTGTCAATGGTCAGTTCCTGGAATCTCTTGACAAGTTGAAAAACCATTAGTGTTTTCTTCTAAACCTGCTAAAACCTGTCTCTGTCAACAGAAGCCTACTGTTGTACTTAAAACTACTGCAAGACCTATAAATGACATGTCCACATTTTTGTTCTGTCCTCCAGAGTTGACTTCCCATTGTCTAAAGTGGATTTAGATATTGCTTTGTTGACTTTCTTTTAAAAAGTTGTACTAACATTGGTATGATGTTTTCACACAATTTTAATGGGAAAAAACAGTCAATATGTGCTGACAATGTTTTGTATGAAGGAAGTCCCAGTACAAAGTGAATGTCACAAAATGTTTCCTAGAAATCACAGAAAAATAAAGAAGTCAGCCAATTCTAAAGCACTTTAGTAACCAGAAAAAAAAAACAAACCAGGACTGTATTTCTAGTTAATTGTTTGATTCAAATAATATAATTTATATTCAAATAATAGAAATAAAAACAATGAAACCCACACAGAATACTTTCCACTGGAGTTGTTCCACTGCTTTTCAAGACTGTCTGTATGAAAAACACAAGAAAAACCAAAAGTCATAGCATACTAGTAGGAGATGGTATTTAGTCAAGCAAAATAACTGTAGCATACCATGATGCCAGTAGAGGGTAGTTAGCAGAAAACAAAATTTAAAAACACTCCAGGAACAGAAATTAAAATCTGCCCGTTGGTACTAGGAAATTCTAGGAAAGCTATAAACCTTCTAATTTCGTGTACTGAGTATTGGAAATTTTACTAATATTTTAATACAGGGAACGAGGATTTTTGTTTCCAAAACTAGTTCAAATTTGCCTGCAGTAATGCAAAGTTGTGAGAGTAACTCCTTGTGAGTAAGGCTTTCTATCATAGCTCTAAAGAAAAAGGTTTTTGCATATATATCCCCTCCAACACTGCAGCTTATCCATGCCATCTGTTAGTTTCTCCTTTGTTTTTGTTTGCATCTAAGTAAGAAAATACTGCAGCTTGTCCTGTTCTACAGCCAAATAAACCCCAAAGATTTGCTCCTGTCTTATGCTTTCCATCTTTTCCAACAGTGTGGCACTAAGAACATTTCTGGATAAAGATATTTTTACGTTTTTCAACATCACCCATTTTGATCTATGGAAAAAATCTAAAATGTTGGTCACAGTTATCACGTTCTTCCTCTTGACAACTACATCTGCTTACGTGAAAGGGGCATTTCTGCATATTTAATTTGCTTGTGAAAAGTAACAGAATGTGCGCAGCCCGATCCCCTGATTTCTTCTTTTAACTTCATTTTGCACCAGGAGATGTTTGTCCATTACGATCCCAGTAAGAATGGAGTCACACTCTGTAAAGTATCTTCTACAATGCTGTTTATTTACAATGCTAACACTATAAAAAGAAGTATAATCTCACATCCCTTTAGATGGTGGGAGGCCCAGGTGGTGTAGCATTGAGGGAGCCTCTGACTCACACATAGCACGCTATGCAGACCACCTTCATAGTAGAGAGCCTCACCTTTGGTCTTTCAAGCTGTATAGCATTTTGTAACATGGAAACAACTCTGCCATTTCGGCAGTCAAAACAGAAATGATGGTCTCAGGAATCTTTGCTGTGCTGTTAGACAAGGGCAAGGCCAGGCAGCAGCTGTAATCGTCAGTACCTAGCAGGGGGTGCCCACAGGCTTCTCTGTAAGGATGAGCCAGCTGACTGAGTTTACCCCGCTCATCCCTGGCTGAGGAATGTGTGCTGCACAATATGGCCTGAAGGCCAGGCTGTACCTGCAGCATGGCCCAGCACAGCCCCAGCCTGCTCTTGCCTGGGGTGACTGTGCCGTGGATCACTGACCCCTCAATGTGCAGTGGTCAGCACCACTACAATCCTAGGGCACTGACAACTCCTTTAGGAGGAATTCTTTTTTCTTGAATCCAAATACTAAAGATGTGATGAGCTTTATAAGAACATTGCATTCTTCACAATTAATTAGCTCTGTGCTTATTTTCCTACAGATAGCTATATTTCCTGGGTATTTTTTGTGTTTATTTCCTATGAAATGTATAAAGTTCCCTGGTCTTCTGTATCCTGACCATTCACAAGAAGCCCTGCTGTTCCCTATAGCAGCAAAGGCCTTGAAAATTGTTTATTCACAGAGGAATTCTCTCTTTGTGACACGAGTGCTCTTTCAAAGGAGGTGAGTCTCTAGTTGAAGGATGCCCTTTAAAAGTAAACAAATCATTTCATCAGAAGTGAGTATGTTAGGAAAATAGTGACAGAGGGTACAAACCTGGGAGGAGTGGTCGATATATCAGGTTTCCAGATACCATCCATACGAACATGACAGACTAGAGAATGGTCTGACAGGAGCACCAAGAAGTTCAACAAGGTGCAAGATGCCTGCACCAGAGGAGGAAAAACCGCATGACCCAGTACAACAGGAGGAGGGAGGTGACTGGCTTAAAGTAGCTTTGCAGAAAGGTCTTGTGGTGGACACCAAGGTGAACATGAGCCAGCAATGTGCAGCAAAGAGGGTGACCAGTATCCTTGGCTGCATTAGGAGTGCTACCAGCAGGACAAGGGAGAAGACCCTTCCTCTCTACTCAGGACTGCTGAGGCACCTTAAGACCTACTGGAAAGAGTCCAGTGAAGGGCCACAAAAGTGAGTAAGGGACTAGAACCTCTCTTACATGAAGAAAGGCCAAGAGCTGGGACTGCGTAGCCCAGAGAAGCGAAGGCTCAGGGTGCATGTTATCAATATACAGGAATAGCTGAAGAGAGAGAATGAAGGATCCAGACTCTTCCCAGCGGTGCCCAGTGACAGAACCAGAGGCAATGGGCATGCACTGAAACACAGGGGGTTCCCCCTGAATATCAGGAAACGCTTTTTTTACAGTGAGGGCAACCGAGCACTGGCACAGGCCGCCCAGAGATGTTGTGGAATCTCTATCCCTAAAGACATTGCAAAGCAGCGAGGACCCGGCGCAGGGCCGCCGCTCGGTAACGGCCGGCCCTCGGTGATGAGCCGCCCCCAGTAGCAGCGCGAGCCCCGAGAGCCGCGCCGGGGCGGGAGAGGGCGCGGCTGGCCGCGGAGGAAGAGTGCGGAAGGGCTGAAAGGGAGCAGCAGGGCGTCCGCCTCTCGGCCGAGTGCCTGGACGAGCCGCCCAACAGCCGCATCTTCGTGGTGCTGGGCAAGGACACCGAGGAGACGCTGATCCGGGAGCGCTTCTCCCCCTTCGGGGACATCCAGAACATCTGGCTCCTGCGGGACAGGCGCACCAATGAGTCCCGCGGCATCGCCTTCATCAAGTTCGCCCGCAGCTCGCAGGCCTGCCGGGCCATGGAGGAGATGCACGGCCGCAGCCTGCTCCCCGACACCAAGCCCATCAAGGTACCCGCCGGGGAGCGGGCCGGGCGCTGTGGGGCGGGCGGTGTCGGGGCCCTGGGAGCAGCCCTGGGAGCCGGCAGGCGAGGACCGACCGCCTCGGCCCGCACGGCCGGGGCTGGCGCTGGAGTACCCCTCCGGTACAACGGTGCATCCCACTGGCGGCCCCGGGGGAGCGGCTGCCGGGGGATCCCAGCCGTACCTGAAGCTCCCACGTGTGGCCTAAGCTGTAACAGGCCGGAGGGAGATGCTCTACCTGGAAACTGCGGGGTCTTTCTTTGGGGCTACGTTTTGAATTTTCAAGGAGTGTCTGTGACAGAGATTCTTAAACAGTATATTCTAAGTGTTGTAAGCAAGATAGATGTGAATAAATAGAGCTGGCTTTGCACGTGTGTTTCATGTTGGTTTTGTAGCTCGTGAAAACTTTTTTCAAAACTTTTTTTTTTAATCCATGCAATTGGCTGGCAGCTTTCAGCCTCCTGTTTTCATTTGAAAATGCAATTGAGTCAGTAAAATCTTTTCTGAAGAACTTGCCATCAGAAGCCAAAAGATCAGACTTGTATTCCTTTCTCCCCTGCATGACTATTAGAAACATAAATTAAGACCTCTGTGAAATCAGTTGCTGCTTTTGTATAAGAAGCTTACTTAGAAAATGGCTTGTGTTTTTCTTACTTGGTTGTTTGGGGTTTGTTTCTTTGTTTGTTTTTATTTGTGGTTTGTTTGTTTTTTCTCCTGGTTGTCTTCTGATGTGCACTTCTGACATGAAATTTACTTCGGTATTTAAAAGGGATTTTAACAGTAACAGATGTGAGAAGTTATGATCCTTCATAGAGCACTAGACCTGCAAACTTCAGCCCAGCTGAGCAGTGAATTCCAGTAGCAAGGTTTTAATAAACTGTTAGGCCTTTTTGTTTCTTTGTTTGCATATTTGTTTTTACTACTGCTGTACTAAGCCTGTTACAGTAATGCATTCTTCGCTACCTCTCCCATGTCACTGGGCGTATTGGCAGTGCTGCTGAGTCAGTAGCAGTATTCCTCACCATTGTTCATTATCCCTGGTAAGACTTTCTGCTGGCCTCTGTCCTGCTTGGGAAACCATTTGGGGTGATTTATATTTGTAGATCTTTAGTCACAGGTGATCACAGCTGTTCTTTTTTTCTATGTCAGGAAAGCTAGCTTATGCGAAAAATAAATGCAAAGGTTGTTAAACCTTTTTCTTGGTTGCTGATATGTGTTTAAGACCTATTGCCAGTAATTAGTGTCTGTGTAATTATTTCCTTAGGTATTTATTGCACAGTCAAGAGCTTCTGGAAGCCACCGAGATGTTGAAGATGAGGAGCTTACACGAATCTTTGTTATGATACCGAAAACCTATACAGAGGAGGATCTGCGAGAGAAGTTTAAGGTACTGATTTGCTATTTGATAATTGTTATTTTAAAATGGTTTCTCTTAATTATCAAAAGGATTTTTAGCACATGAAACTTTTAGGCATTTTCAAATATTGGAAATTAATATGCTTTTTAATTGTTCTAGATGTATGGAGACATTGAATATTGCAGCATTATTAAAAACAAGACCACTGGAGAAAGTAAAGGTTTGGGCTACGTGAGGTATCTAAAACCATCGCAAGCTGCCCGAGCAATTGAAGAATGTGATCGAAGTAAGAATCTGACTGAATTCTTTGACTTTTTTTTGCAATAAGTGTGTATCATCATTAATGTACCTTTTATTTTTAGTTGTGTTTGCAGGTAAATTATTTGTGATGTAAAACATCTTGAGACAAAGTTCTTTTGCAAATAAATAGCAGCATTGTTAACATTCAGCGAGGACAGCCACCTGATTACATTCTTTCAAGACCAGGAGAAGAAAGGCTTTTGGGGAAACCTGACAGCAGCCTTTCAGTCAAACCTCCTGTTCAATGTTGCTTAGTCACAAATATGAAATAACTTGGTGTGAGGACTTGGCTGTTTGTTGTTCTTACTTCTTTTTGTTTCTGTTTTTTTTTCTCCCTTAATATACATGGTGGTTCTGCATCATATCTATCATGGTTCTATAAAAATGATATTTGTGCATAGGAATATGAGCCTGAGATTACTTAGCAGTCAAATTGTATTTCCATTTTTCTGTGAGGTTAAAATGAAATTAGTTGGATAGCTTGAGTATAATACCCATTTCTTTCATAAAAGCAAAACCTAGAACAGTGCAAAACACCCATGAACTGCTGTTTTAGCAATGAAGTTAATGGGATTCCTTCTGGAGCATCTCAGAATCGTGCTAAGTATCACAGAATGGTTGAAGTTGGAAGGGACCTCTGGAGGTCATCTTGCTCAGGCAGGATCACCTCGGCACTGTGGTTGCTCAGGACCATGTCCAGGTGGCTTTTGAATATCCCTAAGCATGGAGACTCCACAACCTTTGTGGTAAACTGTGCCAGTGCTCAGTCATTTTGACAGCAAGTAGATTGTTGTGCTTAACTTGTGAGTAGGAGTAGTTCTATGTGGAAGCTGTTAACTTTCACACAATTACTATGGCAGGCTTCAAGAGTTATAGTTATTTCACTACAGCCAATGCTTACTGGTCTTTCTGAATAATATGGTTCTAAATATGGTACTTGGAGAATGTGGGTCTGGTCAGATAATTGAGATGTGCTGAGGTGTTGCTATATTGTTTCTTTCAGGTTTCAGGGCCATTTTGGCTGAACCTAAAAATAAGGCATCTGAGTCTTTTGAACATGACTATTACAGTAATAACACAAGGCAAGAACCAAGAGGAAATACGCTTCCATTTTGTAAGTCACAGCTTTTGGTACTAAACGTGATTTGTAGTCTCGAGTATGGTCACTAAGTAAGAATGTGGTGTGGAAGAAGGGAAGCTAATGGAGTCCTAGGCCATCACTTAAGTAGTAGATTGGATGTTGAAGCTAGAAACTAGCCAGGCATTTCATCTCTATATTTTTATGGCTCACTTTGCTCTGGTTGGCCAATTATTTTGGCCATTACCTTTAATATATAATTGACTTGGATTGCTTTTAAAAGTTGAATGCAGAATATGCATTAAATGAAGGCATGCTGGTGTGATGACTCAAATTATTTTATTGATTCTTGAGGTATGCAGCCAGAATTTTGTAGTTTTGAAAAAAATGAGAGCAGAATTCAAGAATCCGTCTCCAAACGTCTGTCAGTGTTATCACGGCTTCCCTTTATCCAAGAGCAGCTGTTTGCCCTCTTTGATTTAGTTCCAGGACTGGAATATTGTGACGTTCAGCGAGATCCTTATACCAACAGTGGTAAGTATAAGTACAAAAAGTTTTTTTTTTTAATCTGTGAAGGGAATTCCTTGTACTTTTACTTTAATCAATTTGTATTGCAAAATACAGTACACTTGTGGGAAAGAGTCAGTGGTTGCTGCTGTCACTGCATAAACCCAAACGTTCAGTTTTGCTTGAACCCCTGTTTACAGGTAGCCATAAATAGTTTTACTTTCAGGTAATAAAATCTCAAGAATGATGGGATCAAAGTCATGATAAGTGGTTTTGGTCAAATTAATAGTTTTAGGTAGAATAAATGAAGAAAAAGTTTCAGAAATTATTGGACATCTAGTTAAAATGTTCTCTAAACAGATCTTTAGAGTTTTCCTCTTGAAATGGGCGTGGGGTGGTGTGTGTGTATGTAGAAGGTGACATGAGTAAATGGGATTAAATAATTCCAAAACAGATCATGTTTTCTATTAAAAAGATATTTTGGTTTCAGTCTTGTTTTCCTGCTGCTGAGAAAAATGTGGAAGTGGTCTCTTCTCCAAGAAGCTTGAAATGATTCAGAGAGCTAAAATATAACTTTACAGTTCTTGAGATTCACTCTTAATGGGATAGTTGCATTTTTAAATGAAATCATGTATCCTTTTGTTACTCGTTCCAGATGAGTGAAGAAGATGTGTTTTCACTTGTGTGGTTTTATTGCCAGCTTTTCAAACTAGCATAAATACAGCTCGTCTGTCACTAGTTAATTCCACTGAAGTTTTCTACAAATACTTTTGGTTAAATAATATGATATGTGGTAAAAAGACTTAAGAATTTTGTGTCATCCGTGACTGATGTGCATTTTAATCCTTTGCTCTATATGAGTGTAGTTTGTTCTTAGGATTTAGCCATCTCATGCTGAAACTGTGTGCACTGTATTTGCAGGCTATGCTGTGATTCAGTACAGCACTGCTGCATCAGCTATATATGCCAAGTACAAATTACATGGGTTTGAGTATCCTCCTGGAAATCGATTAACTGTCACTTTCCTAGAAGATGGGAGTGATAGTTCAGAGTAAGTACTAATATATTGAGATAAAAAGTTGTAAGTTGTGTTCTGGAGAGCAAAATGTAAAATAAATACATCATTAACATAAGTAACACCAATATCGCTCTGAGCTTGTTCTATACTCATAGATAGTATTTTCTGAAATTGAGGTGTTTGGTTTGGGGTTTTCTTTTTGAATAGTTTAGAATAAGCCTTTTGAAACTCACTAGTCTTTGATAAAGAAAAGATTAAAATATATATTCTTAAGATTCTATAGAAAAATCTTGGATTTGTCAAGAGTCTTTGTCAATGTATCTGTAATATGTAACAAGGGCTGGAATGTGTTTTTGATCTCTTGGTTGTTTGCAGTAGGGCGAGTAGTAGCCTTGTGAAGCACTTGTAGAATAAAGCTGCTGGTGATGAGGATCTGATATCCTCACAGGTCTTCCACATCTCTAACTCATTCCTGTCATTTGAATGCCCATTACAAATTGGAGGGGCTTAGATACTGTCCTGCAGGGAAAATTTTGGCTTAGTTTTATCCTAAAGGAATCTAGTTCATGTCAAACCTATTCTGGGAAATGAACGGGGACAGTAGGGAGGGACAATGGGGAGACTCACTTCAGAAGTGCGTGCCTGACCCAAACTAGAAAAAATGTTGATTGCAACCTTCATTCTCCAGTAATTTCTGCAGCATTCTTACAACTCAAGCTGTGACTCTATGCAGAATGTACAATTGCTTTTTCTTATTCTGCAACAAAACAAAATAAAATCACTGGAAAATAGGAGCTGGAAGTAAACTTTCTGTGATAGTATTTTGACTTCTGAACTGAATCTTTGTGCTCTTTACTGAAATAGGTGAAATTTTTCTGTCCCTTTTGCTTTTTAGGCACCTCTCACAAAACGTAGTGGGCTCTTGCAGAGATAATTTTATCTTTTTTACCCCTAGAATATTAAAAAAAAAAACAAAAGGTAGTTTTGTATCTGTATATGTAGTAATGTATTACTGTTTTCAGTGAGTTCCAGCTAGCATGCATACTTTCAGGTCATGTCTATAGAGTGTCCTGAAAACCTGGCTTGATTGTCATTATTTACATGATATTACAGATTTCCAGAGATACTCTTAGATGTGCACTGAAACTTTTCTCTTGCTGAATTTAGGATTAACTTAGCTCTTTCTTTAAAATATTTTATTATCACTTCTGCTTGCAGCCTCATCAGAAAAATGGCAACACAGCTGGTAACAGCCCAGGTGTCGTCAGCGTTGCGCAATAACAACACGATTGTTCAGCAGTATAGGACACCTCCTGTAAGTTCATATAAAGCACAGTGTTAGTATCCTTCTGAATTGTAAGAAACTTCAGACATGTCAATAAAGAACACTGCTCACTTTCTTCTGTAACTGTTTTAGATGCTGCACTTTTTAAGATGTACCTCTGATTGGTTGGTACATTTTTATTCCCTGTAAAGTTGTCTGAGCTTACTTGGATTTATTGTCCAATTTAATGAAATAACCAAAATAAATAAAGTAATGAAGATTAGAACTTGTAGAGGCTGTTTATGTCCTGTGATGGGAACAAAAATTGTAAGTAAGATAAAATTACTTCCTCTGTCCCCTGCCCCCCCAGTTAATTTATACTTGTGTTTTTTTCCTCCTGTTTCAGCAGGCGTTTGGAGGAACTTCTGGCCCTCAGTTACTTCAGCCCCAAACAGATGCCATTCTGCCACCACCCAAAAAAAAAGTTCCACCTGACACTTCTGTGAAGGAAAGGCTTTTCATACTTTTTCATCCCCATCCTTTACCTGTTGTTGTTTTGGAGGATGTGTTCTGGTAAGCCTCCATTTACAAATAAGAGCTTCCTAACAAAAACAAAACAAACTATGAAATATTTAAAATAAATGTTGAAAATAGAAAAGATTATCGTGAAAATGCTTTCCAAAAAGAGCAGTGCACAGTGATTAGTAAATATAAGTGAACAGTAAGTGACAGTTGCTTTTTGAAACTAGTTTGTAATGGAATTCACATTGAAGCATAGAGGCAGTGTCAGCAGTATAGCAGCTTTATTATCAATTAACTTAATCTAAAGTAAAATGTCTAGTCTTCTAATGCTTATTTTTAACCAAAAAATGTGGTACTTCCAGTTCTTCCTAATTTATTTTGCATTTTCTTTTAAATATTTTTGTAAGGTATTTAAGTATTTTGATAAATTTCCACAGTAACTTAGGTGAGTATATCATATATCATAATGGTTTGCATCTTTCAGCTGTTCTTTCACACGACCTCCTTTTAAGGAGCAAAGACTTGAGGCAATTTTTGCCATCTTTAAAACAAATCTATAGTTAACTGTTCTCCAGTGTTTTCTATTATTTGTTTGTAGTGTACTCTTGAAGAAAAAGACATTTCCCTTTTCTAATAGCTTGCATTTGCAATAAATCTTTGGAAAGCCAAACTATGTACAAAGCACCAGGAAAGGAAAAGAAATAGTATGCACATAATGGGGAATTTAAAACTACCTATTTGATATACTAGATTTTCTTAATCAGATGCTGGAGAAGGAAAAAGCTGTGTATACATTTGTGTAACTTCAATATGAAGTAAGCAGACTATTTTTCAGAAACGTATTTTAAAGAACTGTCTAGGAATCTCCTGAGGACTTTGGAAATCTGTTTTCCCTAAAGCTTTTGTGTTTACTTTCTGAGTCATTTCAGTGAGACCTTTTCAAAGATGAATCAACTAAGTTCATTTAAGTGAGATGCAGGTTTAGCTTCTAAATTATCTGCTGGTTTGCGTGTGTATGTCTTATTTTTGGTTTGTTTGGGTTTCTTCTTTGTAGTGAGTCAATAACTACGACGATCCCAGCGGAGGCAGAAAACTGGAATGCTTTATTGGACTTACAGTACAGGGTTTTACACTTAAAGGGTTTAGGGTCTACATATTTAACAGGAGGTTGTAACTATTACAATTTATTACAAACAGGGTGTGTCAGCCCCAAGGCTTTTGTTTAAACCTAGCAGTTTTCTTTTTCTCATATCGAAATTTTGGAATCCAACATTTCTTATTTTGGTTTTTTTGGGGGGTGTTTTGAGTGCCATGTAGTGTTTGGGGACTGTAGTATTGATTAGCTTTACATATTCTTTTAAGTAAGAGAGAAGTCATTGGTGTTTGTGTTTCTGTTGTAATATTCTGTAGAAAGCATAGTCTGTGAACTTCTGGTATTATTTCTGTTCCTGCCCATAATTCAAGAGAAGGGAATATGAAAATTGGGAGTTTTAGAAGAGGCCAGCAGAAGAAAACATAGTGTACATATCAGAATACAGTTGTTGCAGTTAACAAATCATATATACTTCAGATTGGATATGTTGCAGGAAAACCTGTAAATTCTTTTTTTTTTTCCTCCCCCCCCCAGTCGTTTTGGACAACTGATACAAGTTTACCTTGTTGCTGGAAAAAATGTGGGCTATGCAAAATTTGCAGACAGAGCAAGTGCCAGTGAGGCCATAACTGCATTACATGGCAAGATTGTGAATGGTGTCAGGCTCAAGGTGAGGTTGGCAGACTCACCCTCGGAGGAGCCCAACAAGCGCCAGAGAACTTACTGAGCAGGTGAGTACCCAGGCTGAGCTGTTACTTACACTGAAGTGCAGCTACATGAAATAGTAATTGGCTAAGTATTTTTAAGGTTAGATACAAGCATGTAACGATAAACTTTAAACCTGTTCTTAGCTAACAACTTGAAATACAATTTGTTGTATATCTGTTTGTGTGTATATACATACACGTATCTGTGTATGCTTATATATGCACGTATGCACTTTATTTTAGCAAAAACGAATTTTTATAATTCTTGGGAAAAATATGAACCAGTTGATAAAAATCAATCTGGATGTTCATAGAAATATTTGCTTTTGTACATAAGAGAATCAATTAACATTGAAAAGAAAATGCAAGAATAAACAATGGAACTGACATCAGCTTCTGTGTGTCTTTTTTTTGTTAAAAACACATGCCATCAGTGGTGTTGGATAAAGATGCAGAGTTGAGCTGTTGGAGGATAGAGGAGTGAAGGGGTAAATAAAAAAAGGATGCAGGGGGGGACAGGTAAGGTTGTCAGGTGAAACCAAAGGTTTGGGATATTTGGGTCATCTGGATTCTCAGAAAGCAGATGTAGCTGAAATGTGTGATAGTGAAGAAAATATTGCAGAGCTTGTGGTGGAGGGATTGAGATGTGTGTTTAAGATAATTAGTCTGAGCACTTACTGTTTGATGCTTATGGCCTGTGAAAGCTGGCTAAACTCTAGAGGTTTCATATTTTTTAGACTTCAGGGACCAAAACTGATTTGTTCTTTTAAAACATTGCTTTGCTTCAAATTACATAAAATTTAATAAAATTTCTTTTTTTTTTTTTACATTTATTTTTTAACATTAGAACTGTTACCAAAAGAGAAATATAGTAGGGGAAGAAAAAACTATTTTCTGCAAAATAACTCAATATTACTATAGCTTTCAGATATTTCCAGTAGCCATATTATCTCCCTAAGGGACATAGTTTTGATTTAACTCATTCAGAAAACGTCACATGAAATCCTGACCCTCTTCACGTCAATATTTTACCTCTAAGCTTCACTCCTTGTACCTTTCTTTGTATAGATGTTCTTTGTGACCCCAGAGTTGCAAAGATCAAAAAAAGATTTTGCCCAGATTGTTCCTGTTCTCCTTTTTTCCTGAGGACTTTTGTGTTGCTCTTCTGATAAGCAGCAAATGCTAAAGGTGGCCTTAGTCTTTTTATATACAACTTTTGTTTTAAAAAATTTGATTTCTAGCATTCTTTTTCTGCATTGAATTACAGCTAAAACTAATTTGAAGCTTTTTTCCTTTTTTTTTTTTAATCAGCAGGTGAACACAATTTTAAGTAACTTGTACCCATGCTCTTATCTTCGTACAAAGTTTTGTTTTTAGTGTGACTTTTACTTTCAGCAATTAAAGGCCAGCCTCTGGGTCTCTACAGGAATAACTATGATGTGACGTGTAATATAATACCAGGTCTGCCTTGTGTACTTTTTACTAGAAAAGTGTAAACACAATATGTGTCCAAAATTAGAAAAATGATCTATCCTGAAGTTTTCTTTCTTTGTTTTTAAGAAAGATAAGAGTGAGAAGACTGGAAAGTTTTCTTCTGATGGTCTATCTAAAACTGATTTTTTTTTTTTATTCACACATATGAACACACACAAAAGCACATGTTTTTCCAGTCGTGATTGTTGAGAAGATTCTTTAACATCTCCAGGTGACAAACAGTGTGCAGTTGGTCACCAAATAGGATTTTCAAAAGGCTAAAGCTTACTTTATGTTTCAGATTATGTTATTAAATTCTAATATATACATATTATTGACTAATCAGAAACATAAGGTCAGATAGAAGGTCAGATTGAGACACACACATTTTACCTAATTAGAAAAATGGAAAACTAAGATCCTATTTAAAAATTATTTTTTTACAATATTCAAAATTACAGCAGACCTCTTCTGTCCTTTCCTAGGTTTTTGTATCTCTAAAATTTCAAATAACAGAGTACTAGTTTTAGTTGTTGAAAGACAGACATGTTAACTCTGTCTTGGACAGATTACTAGTAATTTTGGTGGAAATGGCTGCTGAGTATTTCCCTTCTGGTTAGCCTTTCATCTGCTGAGTCTGTGCTATATCACAGGGAGAAGAGATTTCTAAATTTACAATGTTACATCCTGTACATGAGGTTCTTGATTCTGAGTCTTTTAGCAGGTTGTTTTAGCATCTATCTCTTCTTAGAACAGATAGACAAAATTACTTGCTCTTTTTGGAGTTCAGTTGGTTTCTCAAATTCAAATGAAATGGTACATAAAAGGAAGGATTCCCTGTCAAAATGGGCTTGCCCATTTAAATGAAGCTTATCACTGCCTGACTTTGCCTTGGAACAGCTGACGAAAAGCTTTGCAGTAGTATAGAAGCTTATATTTTGCTTTCACCTAAAACGTTAAATTGTGCATGTGAAAGGAGATGGAATTCTCTCTACCTCTCTGGGTTTTTTTGAATGTGCGAGAATATTAACTTTTGTTCTTTTTGGATTTTAGCTGTAGGAAATAATCTGCCTAGCTAAAACTTCTCTGAGTTTTCACTTAAGGAAGTCATTCCCTCTTAAAAAAACCCTGTTCTAAAATCCTATTGTATTGCTGGCTTTTTGTCTCTAACAAGGTGACTGGATTTCTGCAGTAGTCCTTTCTATACAGGGTTCTCTGATTAAAATCTGTGATAAGACTTGAGAATTCTAGAATCTATATGAAAATAAATGGAATTCAGTGGAATAATTAAATTTAAATAAAATATTTTTTCTACCCATTTGACGTTTTTCTCTAACACTTCCTTATGCAAATAATCTTTTTAAAAATACAATTTATAAAATTGTTTCTTTAAAAATGTTTTATGGTGACAGTATGCTACTGCTAATGCTCCTGCAATGTAAACATCTGACCATAAGAACTTTGTTACCTTGCAACAACCTTTTGTTTATCAGGTGAATTTGCATACATATGTATTAATATTCTAAACTGATGCACCTAATGAATTTTACAGACTCTGGCTCTCCTACAAGTCAGTGAAAATTCAATTTATATGAGTAGTTAAAAGTAGCAGAGAAAAGATGGAAATAGAGACTAGTAATGTTCTCTTAACTACTTTAAGTTCTAACATAAGGGTTTTTTTGGGGTGAGGTTGTCCCCTCTTATGCTAAGTAAGTATTAATGGCTTTAAACTATCTTGCTTTGAATCAGTCTAGGCTTGAGAAGACAACTGCAGTGTCTACTTCTAGGCAGTTGCTGAAAGCAGACCAGTCTTAATGTTCTTGTTATTGACCAGCCTGTGCTCTCCACTCAGAGTTTTGCATTGAGTTGAAATACTTTGAGTATTTCATGAAAACCTCACTGCAGTGTCTGATGCCAGTTGTGTAAATTATATAATTCAAAAATGGAAGAGGAAGGAAGGAATTTGCTATCTTTTAGAAGAATGTATTCTGGAAATCCAGTTAATCTCTCTATTGCAACCTTATAGTTCTATTTTAATACCACCCCCACTCCCAAAAACAACCCCCCCCAAACAACAGACCCACAAACAAACAAAACAAAAAACCAAAACCCACACAAAAAGTCTGTCACAAAGCTTTCAAGGAGTCTTTAGAAAGCAGAGCTTCTAACTAGCAATGTATTAAAAATGCAAAGGTCCACACAGCTGTGTGGACCTGGGTTCTGTGGGTTTTAACAATCATTACTGATTGACTTTAACCCACAGCAAATGGATTAATTGCATTTTTCCCCTTCTGAAAAAGTTTGGTGGTGTCTTTAAATAATTATTTAGTCATTTACTAAGTTGAAAAGCATTTATTCTGTCATGAAATACATGGTTATTTTTGTCTTGTTACTCTTGCTCTGAAAAAGTCCTGCATCACTGATTTGATTTGCATTCATTTTTTTACTTAAACTTTATTAAAGTCCTGAAATTAACATCTATATTTATAATAATGTATTGTTGTGCAAAAATGTTTAAAAAAAGTAATTGTATCATAGTTGAGATGTATTCTGAAAAAAATAGCTGTATTTTGTATCAACAGTGTTCCGCAGGAAAAATGCGGCTTTCACACACTGCTTAGAAAAAGAGACACTTCTTTAAAAGTTGGAGAAGCATACCTAAAACTTTAATATTATTCTTCTAAAGATATTAAAAGTCTTATTTATATGCTGTTGTAGTGATTCTATTTTATAATATGTACTTTAAAATAAAAATATGTATGTTGCTTTTTGATGCTATTTTTGTACTTGTGTTTTTTCTACAGAAACTAAATAATGACATGACCCTCAGCTAGCTGACTGACTGACTGAAAACGTGACTAGACATGGTTCCTGTGGACAGTGACAGCTTTTTCAGTGACAGCTTTTTTTTTGTTGTTGGTTTTTTTGTTAATTGTTACTTAGTTGATCTTCTCTCTATGGTGCTTTTTGATTTTGAATATGCAGACATGCAGTTTTGAAAATTATCTAGGTATTTAACATTGTAAACTGGTGGTTGTTCTTGTAGTAGTATATAATCCTGTATTACAGAAATCTTGTTTTTACCTGAATTCCTCCTATAAGATGGAAATTACAATGATGGGGGAAATAAAGGAGTCAGCATTTTCTGACTTGACTGGTTAGTTGATAATGATTCAGATTCTGTTAAGATAGAAGACATTTCTCATAATCCAAATTGCATTGAAAAGTGAAGTACAGCAGTAAATTCAAAGAAAATGAAATAACTGTTTAAAAACTGCTATCAGGCGCGACAGTATTAATCTAGATTTAAGAAAATAGCTGTAACCTAGAAAATGATTCAAAGTACATTTTTAAATATTTTGTTGACTTGGGCCAAAAGTACTTGTTATGCTTTGTATGCTGTTTAGTGAAAGTGACATTTGACTGTGGGTCAGACTATCAAAACTGCTTACATTTATCCTTTCTTATCCTGAGGTCTTTTGGTTATAACTGGGGAAAGTATGGAGTCTAGGGGTGTGGGTTTTTTTTTGTTATGGTTTTTTTTTTGTTGTTTGTTTTTTTTTTTCTTTTTAAGGGGTTGGGGTTCTTTCCTCTGCCCCCCCGAAGCTTTCAATGCATATGTTCAAGTAAGAGTTGGACAAGTCAGCATTTCGGCAGGATCAAGAGCACATTCCGGCACTGATGGAGAGTAAATGAAGATAGTTCAAATAAGTATTTGCACAGAGAATTTTCAAATGCCAAATACTTTTCTATGTATTCCTGCATACGACTTGTTGAATTGAAAATATCCTGGTTATTAAAATAATTTATACAGATAAAATTGAGGAATTCTAGTTGTATGCACGCTACAGGACAAGCATGCCCTTGGATGCATCTCCTATCCTGGTCCCTTGATCATTGGTGTGGGGAGAGACACGGA